ATATATATATATATATATATATATATATATATATTCAACAGCAATGCTTCTCAGGCAACAGAGAATATGCCCCTCATTAAGGTGGAAAGTATATGGAATTGTGGCTGTTTAATTTAAATTCATGTATCTTGCAAAATAAAATTTTTCTTGCATCAGCTTAGCAGTCCCTCTGCTCATACATTAGTGCGGAGACAGGAGATCAGAGGAGACCCTCTCATGTAGCATGTAGCCTAATAGATGCTATACCTTAAAAAAATTAAATGAAAAGGTCAGGATGTAAGCCCATGCCTATAAATTTGGAGGAAGAGAAAGGGGGAAACTTAAGTGGGTTTGGGATTCCAGGAAACCTCTTTTATTTAAAAAAAAAAAAGACAAGAAAAGAAATAGGAAAAAAAGAAGGGTATTTTTATATCAGTCACATTTTAGTGACTGTGACAAAATAAACTTTAGGTAACATGGTTAGTTTTAATCATCTCAAGCTGATACAGTCTTACATACATGATCCACCTAAGAAGACAATGTCAGTAAGGGCTGTGTCCATTAGGGAGGCCTGTAAGCATATGTGCGGCTGGCTGTCTCGGTTAACTGCAGTGGGAGATCTCACTGTGGGTGGCGCCACTCTCTAGGGCGAGGGGAGACGGTGAGCCGAGCAGGAACACAAGCACTGATTCATTGCTCTCCACCCTTGGCTGTGGGTATCATGTGACCAGCTGCTGACTCAGGGTCCTGTGACTTTGACGTCCTCGAAATAGTGAATTGTGAGCCAGAAAGCTGTCTCTCCTCTACGTTGTGCTTGCCATGGGATTTTACCATGGCAACGGAAATGTGATTAGACAGATAACTTAAAGGACCAGAGATGGACTTTAGCCCACCTTTTCGTGCCCTTTGGTTTTGGGTTACTTAGTTCTGTTCGTATGGGGCCTCGGGCAGTACAGTGGGACATCCAACACTTGACCAAATGGAAAAAAGAAAAGTTTTAACCTCATGATGGTTTCGAGCAGAGAGAGAGAAAAAGGTGGTGAATTCCAATATACCCTTCAAGATCATGTACCCAGGGACTGAGCTTCCTTCAATAGACCCCACCGCCTAAAGGTTCTGCCACTCACAAAAATGTCACAAGCTAGCCACCACACCATTAGCATGGAAGCAATTTAAGATCCAAACTATAACATTTAATCCAAAATGCTAGAAATGTATCAATAAGAATCATCCATCAAGAACAGGGGACACATGGGCTTAACAGAGGGCAGAGCCCTGGTGGACAGGCAGCGTTCTGAGGCCTGTGGAGAATACAGGTAGTAGGAGACAGACCAGAAACAAGGAATGATTTCAGAGAAGCAGGCAGAACCATCATCAAAAGGGGCCTTAGTTCTTTTAAGATAATTGAGATTTCTCCCAAGCTGGCCAGCCAACCAACCACTAAAGAGGCCAACAACTGGCGTTTCCTTGTTGCTCTATGCAGCATGAACCTGGGCGGAGAAGCAGCAGAAACGCCGTTTAGAAGATGATGCGATTGGTCGGACAGGGTGAGCTGGACCAGGGGCAGCTGTGTTTGACGTAGGTGAGAAGAAAAATAAAAGACTAAAATGGAGAGTTCAGAAAGCAAGGGCATTTCAGGAGGAAGACCATGAGTTCTGTTACAGGCTCACTTAAATTCCATTTCTCATTAGATGCACAAAAGACGATGTCAATAGACAGGTATTTATCTATTCACACAAAAAAAGCTTCCATATTCAATGCAGGAAGCACCAGGGTTTTCAAAAAAAGCCAAAGCAAAACACAGAACCAAAATAAACCTGAGCATTCTAAGACACAAAGAGAACTCCAGAGAGGTAACAGCAAGAAATGAGTCACACCGTGAGATGTCCAGAGCCCCTTCCAGGCCAGGAGGCCAGGGCTGGCTTCGAGAACACTTCCATGAAAGCAATGAGGAGACACGTCAGCACTGAGTAGAGTGAAGGGCAGGCAGAAAGTGAGGAGACACGGTGTTTAAAGCACCTGGGACAGGGAATTACAGAAGCAGCAAGGTAGATGGAAGGCTTGCTTGTCAGCTTCTAGAACTAAGGGGTGCAGCTGTGTGAGTCTGTGGAACCTGGACCTTTGGAAATAATCCAGCGGAAAGGGACACGTGACTGTGGGGAAAGCTGGGTGCAGAGGAGAGGACAAAAGCCTTGAGGCAACATCTGGACTGAGCTTGAAGAGTGGGAAGACAGATCCTGAATAACTCAATGGTCCCTCAGATGGAGAAATGTCACTCAGGGGCCACAACTCAAACATCTGATAGGATTTGAGGGAGGATTCACTCATACTTCCAAGCCTTAGAGTTACAATAATTAGAAGATTTACAGTTGTCAAATATTTGAAAAGAGGCCAATGAATACTGTGTTTGGAGCTACTGAGTTCCAGGAAATACACACACGCACACACACACGCACACACACACACACACACACACACACACACACACAGAGTTATGTTGCGTGACTTGCTGACAATACCATTTAGGGCTCCTCAAGTTTTTGAGTTTAGTCTACCAATTATTCCTTTAGAGCAAAAAGCACAAAGTTCTCTTTTATTACTTCTATTTATAGTAATAAAAACTCAATCCACAGAGTCAGAGAAACAACCCAGAATGCAATGGAGTAAAATGAGGTAGCTTAAAACACAACACTAAATAACCCTCCACAAATGGATCTCCGCCTCCCTTGGCTTCGTGTCCACACATTTCTGCTAAGTGCTTTAACACCGGGCACTCCTACCCAGCAGTCAGTGTGAGGACAGCAAGCACAGACCAGCAACTGCACAGCATTCAAGGCCCCTGGAGAACTCGACAGAAATTCTGAGTAGGGGGTCCTATCTGGCTTCTCAAGTTCACCTTGGCAATTTAAATTCCCTTGATTTTGAACTCTTTTGCTTCAAGTGTTTTTAATTGAAATACAGTCACATCATTTTCCTTCCTCTACCCCTCTCAGTTACTCTTCTCCGAATCCCTCCCAGGCCCTTCAACTCTCAAGCAGATAGTATCATTACACTCTTTCATTTAACCAATATGCATTGAAAACTCACAGCGTTCCAGCTACACACTGAAAACATTGGAGAAAAGTGAGACAGTTCTTGCCTATATGCCAAATCTCACTCAGGTAAAGACAGTGGACTCCTTTCTGGGCATTCGCCATCTGCTCCTGGGTTTCTATTGGATAGAGTAACCTAGAAATGCTTCTCAATGGTTACATCATCTCAGGCTTGAGCTCAGCTCCAGAGCCTCGGGAAGCTTTACAGCTCATACACGCAAGGGGACAACTGGAGTTAGGAACAAAATCTAGGGAGTCTCTTCCTCTCTTTGGGAATCCAGGCCTGCTGCAAGGCATACTCTGACCAAGAAAACATGGTAAAAGAGACATATTGGGGACAAGCATGGGATAGTTTTCAGGATAATAGACCAACATGGGCCACAGATAAGCCACCCCACAGAAGCACCACAAGACTGACCAGGATCCAGCCTCCTGGGTCTGCTACTGAGCCTTGCAGACTAACTGCCTGGCTGATCGCAGCCAAATTGTTAATAAACAGGTTACTGAGATAAACAAGTAGTGGTTGTTTGAAACCATCAATTTTGTGGTAGTCGTTCAAGTTGGCAAAAGTTAACCAATACACTACCTCTTCACCTTTTGTTCTTGCTACACCAAGCTGAACACAGTGTATCTACTCTGCATTGCCCTTCCTGCCCAACACATCTTACCCAGGTAGACACAGGCATCACTTCCTTCAAATTTCTGCCTAGTTGCACTCCATCGGGGAAGTGAAGCCCTCTGCAACAGGCCAGATATTCTTAAGCCTAAATACCACATCCCAGATGAGAACCTCATGGAGTTTGTGCATAGGATTTACCACCATCTGACACGGTGTTTTATTACATATTTACTTATTTGTTTTTAATCCACCTTGCTCATGATGACAAGAAATTTCTTTTATTTCATGATTTCCTGTTTGCCTTAGCACATACACTGACTGTGACATAGTAACAACATAATACATGTCGGTGACATAAACAAGAAAATGAATGAATGGCACAAATCAGGAAATTAAAAACCGACAATAGCCGTTATACAGAAACTTAAAATATGATAACAAGTGGTGGTTAGTGGGTCCAGTGGTGAAATTAGGAGCCACAAATGAAGGTAGCAACTGCGTGGATCCTTACATTCAAGGATTTCTCAATGATGAAGGTCCAAGTACTAGCAATGCTGCTGTTACCAGCGCCACTTTACTACACTGCAATAGCTCAGAGAACAACCTCCATTGCTAGATCTAAAGAGCAGGACTGAAGCTTTTATTCCCAATGAAATAAACATACCTATCCTGGAGCAACCACCTCTATCCCAGCTGCCCATCAATGTCCTGCCCCCAGCATCTCTGCAGCTCCAGATCTCAGGTGCCTAACAAGAGCAATGCCAACTCCTTTGAGCGCTGTGCTTTCCTAGGCACTGCTGTTGGAGAAGCTCCGGGCTGTGAACCGCGGTTACTATTATCTCTACACTACTACTCAGTGACCCTGTTAACAACAGAAGCTCTGAGACAGAGAGTTGAGGTTCTCTGTCTGATAA